TCTCCTATCACCTTGAGTGCAATTGTTTATGGTACACATGATCATTTCTTTATATTTGCAGGCCTGGGCGGTAAGAATGTTAAGGATGGAGAAGGCGATGGTTAACATAATTGGCATGGTCTTTTCAATGGTTAGTATTCTGCAAATGTTTATAGGTGGCTATGCACCCAAAGAATTTAATTATGAATTCAAACATAATGCTATTGATGTTGGTGACTTTGATAAGGAACAAAAAAATATTGACCTGAATAATAATGTAAATGACGTTTGCCTTAATGAAGTGAATGTGGATTATCGACTTTGGACCCCCATTGTTGCTGTCCGCTCACCACCACCAAAACTTGTCAACAAGGCACAATGACGACGGGTTCCAAAGACAATAATGTTGGTGAGATGCAAGAGACATCATACTCATGCACCTAAACTTTGTTCCCACCAATGCAGCTAAGAAGAGATTTTAAAAAGAGGCCAAACAAATATGTCAAGTCACCATATAAACAACCGAACGTATAACAACAAAAATTTCATGGCAGTAATTATTTTTTATGTTTTATGACTTCATTTTTTTTAATTCCAATACAAAATCTTGGGGGGAGAAGGAGGATGAAAAAGAGGGCAAGGGGGAGGTGAATAATTCACAGGAAAACACTCAGTTAAGGGACGAGCCAATGCGTTCACATTTACTATCTAAGGTTAGCACATCTTATTAAACACCAATGCATATACATGTATAAGTTTTATTTGTCATTGCAAAGGGTTGTGATGACAAGAATGATGATGAAAAGAAAGAAGTGATTGATGTGAACAAGACTCCATTGAATTTAGAGAACACACTAAACTTATCTTGTCATAGTGCATCAATTGTTGAAATTCATAAAATGTGTTCTTTTCTTGTTGCATATATGACAAATTTGAATGCTAGTTAACACCAATATTATTTAACCATATTTTAGATTCTAGTTTGTGTATCCCACCAGTGTTATGGAGAATGCACATATAGACAAAAATTATCTTGAAGATAAGCAATTGATTTTGAATTACATTTTTTACAAGAATCTTGGCATGTGGTATAGACGATTTTAATTGTGTGTTATGTAGACGTAAACCATAGAATCACTACTCACTAACGTTAATGTTTTTTTTGAACACATGGAGGTTGTAATTAGATTTGAACACGACCATACTGAATGGCATGCCCTCATAACATTGCTACCTAAGCAATGGTTTCTAGATTTGGTTAGTTAATATAGGAGTTCTTTGCCTATCTGTTGGTACTTAAAAAAAATCATTTGATATTTTACATGCAATGTGATAGGTTATGAACTTGACGCACAATCTTTTATCTAATGAAGATAAGTCTAATCCAACAATTGGGCTAGAAAGGTGGTACCTGTATACGTGGTTCTCAATAATGAACGTTTGATTTCATTTTTTGTGTTAGTTTTTACCAGAATGTACATAAAATATGTCATTTTATATTGAGTTGACTGCAACAACATGCACTAGCGTGAGTTGTGGCCAACCCTAAAGAGAAAAAAAAATGTTGTTTGAATCAATGTGCTTTAAAAAGGAAGTACATTAAAGACTTCACATATTGTGACAAGGTAATTTACTTTCAACAACATCATCAATATGAGTTACTCAAGGGAATACCACAATTTTCATCTAAAAGTGGAATAAATTTATACAAAATAATTGTAAGTTTTTTTAAATTAACAAGTGATAAACAACAAATAAATGCGTACAACTATGGAGCCACCTTCATCTACTTCAATTGGATCACCCAACTCAACCTGCCAGGTTAATATCATAAACAATGAACTCAGCGCAAAAACTTCACGTGTATGTAAACTAAAAGATGTGTATGACAATGGCAAGACTACTCACATTCATAGTATGAATTATTAAAGGACTTTTACTATCCTTCCCCTCTTTTGAGCTCCCTCCATTATTCTCCTCACACTCTTTTTTTTTCCCTCTTCCTCTTTCTATCCCATTGTCATATATGTTGTTGTTTGTTATTCCCTGTCAGTTCCTGTTTTCTCACCTAATGTGGACATATCCATCCCAATCTCATCCAACAGTTTCTCCCTTACAAAAAGCGATGTTGTAAATTTCTCCAAAAAACATCAAACTTTTTTTCCATTTGTTCCACAACAGATTGTCGTCTCTAAGTCTCTTCCATATCCATCTCCGCAAGAGCCACTCTATCTACTAGATCTCCATAGTTCCGGATCTTAAGAGTGATAAGCTTCTCCTTGATAACCAACCTTAGACCCTGCTCAAACCTTTTTGCTCTCTTCGATGCAGTACATACAAATTTAGGGGCATACCATGATAGCTCATCAAACCTAGCCTCATATTGAGACACTATCAAGTTGTTCTATCTTAAGGCCAAGAAATCTGCACTTTTTCGGTCCTTCACTGACTCAGGGAAGTACTTATCTTGAAATACTTGATCAAATGCCTCCCAAGTCATGGCTTCAACATCCCTTATCTGCTTTCACTAACTCCCACCAATGGTCAGTTTCTCCTTCAAGCAGGTATGTAGCTAAGCCAACCCGAAGATCTACAACAATCCCCATATTGTCACACATCTTGTTGACCCTTTGAGTGCATCTGTCCGTATCCATTGAATTGGAGCTCCCTTGGAAAGTAGGCCGACATTGTCCAAGAAATTCCCTCAACACCATCATCTTAAGGTTCTCATTGCCATCCGTATGTGTCACAACCAACAGTTGCACAACTCCATTTTGGTTGTGGTGTTGTACCAGAGTGGTTAGCTCCCAAAGACATTCGTGATTAGCCGTGCGTCCATGTCTTCTTCTACGGCTCATTCTGCACATCAAGATACAGTTTAGTTTCCTAGTAAAGTCATCAATACCTAGTCACACTTAATTCATCAAAATATAATCCCCAAAATATTTAGACTTACAATTTCTTCCAACTTATACTTATATCTCTGGTGCATAATCCAAAATCTACAACTCACATGTAAGACCTAATTCCTAAACTCTGATACCACTTTGTAACACCCCAAAATCTATCTTGGAAAGCGTTAACTACTTATGCAACAACCAACCATGAAAGTATCTAAAATAATTCATAAGTGATAAATATCAAGTCATCCATCAAATAAATAGTAAACCAAATCTCGAATCCAACATATATAAATTGTCAGAGTTACAATCAAAATTCAAATAAAACATTTCAACAATCTATTAAAGAAATAGTCCAAAAACATTATTCCAATCAATCACAACTGGCACAATTTAAACTGGGAGAATTACTCTAGACATTAACTCCCAGATCCACTTCAGTATCCAAATCCAATTGCTCACCTAAAAGATTATCCTCCTCCATACCAAAATATGAATTATGGTATATAACGTAGTATGAGCAATTAGCCTAGTAGAGAAACCCTCTCAAACTCTCTTAAAATGGGCAAGTCACAACTATAAAATAACATGTATAAAAATTAGACATAAAACAGTTGTAATTAACGATCTCAAATTTTTGGGAATAAAAATACTAACATTTGAAACCGTAATGAACAACCCACTAGGATAACAATTTCACAAACAATATCTCATGTATATAGGCTGATTAAACAAGAATTTTCAATATATTTAGCTCACAAAACTCCACATTCTTAATATACACTCCACAGGGTAAGACACTTCAAGAAGGGTATATACTGACGCATCAACAATAATGAATCCTTCCTAACATTATGGTATATCAACCCTCGGCATCGATCCACTGTGAATGAATAGTAGTTTGGTCATCACAAGATACAACCTCACTACAAGTGATAGAGAATTTTCGAACCTCTCAAGGTAAGAAACACAACTAAACACTTTGTGATATAGGTCCGCATGTAACTCTAATTCATCAATCTCGTTAGAAGAGATATATTTTCAAACACAATTCCATGCCTTTTAACCGTACAAATTCCCACAATTTTTAACACACAAGAGTAATTAAAGAAAAACATGCAAGAAATCGTAACATAAAACATTCAATTTTGGCATTAATCAAAACCTAGGGTTTTTCTCCGGAACATGCAAATTTTGATATAAAACACGTAATTCCTCCAATAAATGAATAAAATTATCACAAAAAATGTAAAAACATTATAATTCTATGATATTTACTTTTATTAGAATCACAACATACATATAAATTATCCTAAGCCTCAATGGATGAGTTTGAGAAAAAAATCTCTACCTTAATATCCATAAAAAGTGTAATTCTATGTGTTTGATACAATTTTCATGTATTAATCCTTCCCCTTTAATTCTGTTCTTCCTCTTTTACTTGCTCTTAAGGGTTCCTAGGCTTGTGGGAAGTAAAAAACAGGTAAAAGTACATCAAATCACGACCCTGGAGTATTTATTGAGTGAAAAACAAATCAAACCCTAGGGGGTTGTTTGGTATGTGGGGTTAGGGGGGAGGGGTTTTGGAACATGGGTTGGGGACTAAACCCCCTTAAACTCATGTTTGGTAACTATGAATTTGACCTAGGTTTGAAATCCGACCCGGTCATGAAACATTTGTTCATGGTTTTCATGAAACCTATGGGAGGGTTTCATATGTGGGTTTGAAAATTTCACATTCAAATGACAATTATACCCCCTATATATCCATACCCATGTTTGGATTAAATTAGTTAAGGGACACAATAATCATTTAAATACAAATATATTATCATAATAGTCATATATCTCTGCGCATACCAAATATAGATATGCACAACATTGAATATTGAATCCCTTCTTTGAATCTCATCAGTAGTTAAACTCGAGTTTAGACAAGTCAATCCAAACCCCTCCCAAAAAACATACAAAACAAACCCTAGAAGTTCAGCTAGATTTACCCATTAGAAAGACAATGTCCTTTGTTGATAATGACTCTTAGTTGAACAAAATACAAAACACGAGAGATAATATTGCCATATTAAAAAAAGAAAAAAATTAACTTGAATCTCTCGCTTTAAAAGTTTAGCTGAGTTAGACTTTACACCTTAAAAAGTACAAGCCCGGACTTATTTATAAATTAGGTACCAACTTTACAATTTTCAACAATTTTCTCAAAATTATTCACCGTCACTTACAATAAGAACCTATCAGGCAAGAAATATAAAGTACAAATAATGATCACATTAATGTGATATAATTGAAAGTCGTCCTTAATGCACCAGACTCCTGCCCATAGCAGAATCCAAAACAAGTGCGCTTGAGAGCTTTATCTTCGAAAGTGAATATTTACAACAGCTGGCTGCATAAATAAAGTCTGCTGGACGGAGAGTGCGAGGGGTAAAAATGGATGGAAGTGAAACGAAGAGATTTTCTTAGTCCGAGTATCTGTGCTGCCACCTTCTGGTCCTAATAAAATTGCCAGGCCATCGTGAACAGCAAGTTAGTTCAAAACTCATAGAGGTCAGTTGAGAGGCAAAAAAGCATCCATATATATATATATATATATATATATTGGGTAAATAAACGAAATTTTTATTGATTTGCAATGAGGTTCTTACATAAAAAAGGGGAACACTAGAAAACCCCTTCAAAAAAAAAACATACAGCCTAAACTGAATGCTCTATATACACATCAAAGTCATCCTTGTATATGTTCCCAAAATAACAAGTTGAAGCTAATAAAGAATGTCAAATGGAAATAAAAACCAAACTATGACTATAAATGATTCAACAGATCTGAAACTCGTCATTCCTACCCTCTTATTGCAAGCTAGAGATATCTAGGCCTCTTACAACACCCAACTAATCCTCCAGGAAACGTGCGGTCCTTTCATTCTAGATTCACCGGATAAATACCGGGTAAAACCCTAGGAGGAGGATTCCAACTTCCGCTTGCCTACTCACTTTGCCATACTATACCATGATAGAAAACTAAAACTACTGGAAGTATCATCCAGTAGCATTCATTTAAAAAACTGCTAGTGTCCAGCTATGTACCTGGTTTAATCTTGAATTTGAGGATATTCAGTTGCCTTGAAATGAACCTGATGGGATGGTCGGTGGACTGTCTGTGTCGGTCAGTTGCAGAAATCAGCTGTAATAGCAGGTGGGTTATTAATGCCAAAACCCAAGAGAAGGGTTTCAAATGCCATGAAGCCACAAACAACAGATTAGACCCATAAACAGCATTTAGCGCAGTATAGAGGGAGAGAGATGTAAAAAGAAGCCAACTAGTCAACTGAAAAAGTAAATGCAAAACAATAAAAAGTGACTGAAGTTCAATGGACAAAAATGGAATATAGTAGCAGTTGCAATAAAGGAAAAAATCGTAAATGACAAAAAGCAATACAATGAACACATGGTACAAATAGCAAGAATGATAACACCCACTCAAGTGATACGACTCTCTAGTAGAGATTTAACGAGGTATAGACTTTCACAACAGGCTTCCTTCACTACAACAAACAAAAAGGAAAGAGAATCCCTATGTTATATACAGACAGATAGACAGGCAGACATAAAAACACGCACATGTATATACAAGCATCTACGTGCGAGTTATGCAGTCAAAGAAAAAAGGGAAATGCTATTTGGACTTAAAATGTTAACTTAAAATATGTACTTGATAATCACGAATATGTAGTTGGTCCCAGTGAATGCTAAGACCCCGGTAAAATCAATGGATGTGATTGTCAAGTACACTTTTTAAGTCACGTAGCATTGCTTAAGAAAAAATGGCAATGAAGCACTCTTCTAGACTTCAGAGCATAAAGAATCCGAATGACAGAATTGCACACACACAAAAGAAACTTTCTGGTGATTCAACTGCTACCAAAATAGTGACATCAATGTAATTTTTAGGAATCCTTAAGTAGCCCAATCTGGGGAGCATGTAACCATACCTCTATTCTAAACTCATACACATATATTACCAAAGGAAGAAGATGGTAACAGAAGGGCACCATTAACGTGCCAGTACAACAAACTACAAGCTCCTAAACGTTCCTAGTAAGAGAATTAGAACATTATTTGTGATATACATTAATAATGCAAAACAAAAACCAAATTTCAGAATCATACCTTTTCATCAAATCGAAAAAGAGATTGATCAAAATAGGGGGAAGGACTCTGCGACTGGCAACTAAAAGGCAAAGAGGCTAGCATCTTCTTCACAAACTGCATAATGCAGAAGACCACTATAAAAGGTGTCATGCTATAAAGCTATTCTATTGCATGCCTGAAAAGCCAAAGCCACACAGTCCTATCAACATACTTTCAACAGAAGATATTCTTCAAGACCATACAGTGGGGAAAAGGTAGAAGACTTAAAGAAAACAAATTCGACGATGAGATATTACCTGGGAAAAGCTGTTGGCTTTGTTTTTATTGCACCTTAGTTGCTCAAGAGCATGAATATTATTTGAGTGAGATGATATAAAGTTCATATGCAATGAATTTTTTGATATTGCATGAAAGTGGTCGCAGAACTGTTCAAACAAGAAGTAAAGCTCATCTGGCGAATTCTACAGGACATCAGGAAGGAATGTCAAGTGCCTGTCACAGAGAACATTCAAGTTCCAATAGCAAACATAAAGAAATAGGATTGAGTGCCAAAAGATACCTGATAAAAAGCAATAATCTCAGTTGTCTCCATGTTATATACAGCAAAGAATGCAGGATGGTTATCAGCATTTCGTGATACCTGCAGCTTCAAAAACAAGTTTCTAAAACAAAGCACAAAGCTTCCTCCGGCCTGATAATTTAAAGAGCAAGACTCCAAAATTTAAGAGGTTATCAAACACCAGACAATTATAAAGCTGGCATTTCATTTGGTTTGGGACTTACCCTCGAAAGCCTCAGAACAACTACACATTACAACTAGACCAATGAGGGATCAAGCTAAGCCCAATACACTTCAAGAGCAAGTCTATTAGTTTTGAAAGGTTAATAGATCCACCTCCTTTATTGGTAAACAAGATGCAATTGAAGGGTGTGGCAGGTCCAAATAAGCCTCTTATTTTGCTTTCTAAGATTTGATGCAGCCCATATAATGGTTTTTTTGTGATCTATGACTACCACCAAAGGAGCTCAGTACAATCTCATTAACAAAGAGAAATTTATCAACTTTATCCACTGACAAATCTATGGTTTATGAGTCTTGGATGCAACTTTCACATCCTTTTTTTTTCCAGATTTCCTGGACAGATAACCTTTCAAGACTCATCTCTGAGACCATTTTTAGGAATTTAAATCAGATTTCTTCAACAAAACAATCTCATGATGATAATTGAAACAAAAATAGAGTAGGAAACTTTAAGCAAAAATCGGTTCTTGTGACTGGTAATAAGATAGAATGGCTTCAATCTAAAGATAAACATAGCCAATAATGAGATTAAAAAGAACTCCCAGTATTACTATTATCACAATGGCTGATGGCGCCGTATCAGATAGGTTTAAGTTTAAATGAGTAAGAGGCATTTTCAGAATATGCGGATCGTGGGTAAATCTTCTCTGATATAACTAGAGAAGCTCAAGGACACTGACACACATGTTGCCAACACATGGATATACTCAACTGAACTGAACAACATTTTATGGGGCATATATAGACACTAAATCACAGAAATTTAAGCCACGGTTACACCATAGTATTCCAATTTTTACCAAATTTCAGCATTAACTCCAATCATTATAGATTTATATTCACCATAGCGGTTGGCAGGGAGCAGGGAGCAGGGAGGCCTGGAGTAGATTTGTATCCCAGATATTTCTTGGAGCTAGTTCTGCTCATCAAAAAAATTAAAAAGGAAGAAAAGAAGGCTCCAAAGTTTAATTTTATCTAATTATCTTAACTGAAAAATAAATTAAAATGACAACAAACTAAACAGCCAAAAAAAATCAGATGATGAATAAATAAATAGAAGGGGAAAAACTAAAATGACAGAACGGCAGGAATAAGAACTCACCCCTCCATCAACACTACCAAACTTGATTAGTAGGTGACGGCGGTCCAAGAACTGTACCTGTCCAAAATATATTGAATAATTTGTTACACCATACTCAATGAGGAAAACAGATTTTATCAATATAGTAAATCTAGGAGAAAATAAGCTGTGCAACTCATATATTCACATTATGATGCAGCAGGCACAAAGTCAATAGGGCAGACAACATTGAAAGTTCGAACCCTACCTTCCAGATAATTAAATCAACATAATCTTGGAAATGGAAGAAAAACTTCTTCTTCAGGCACTGGATTCTCTGATCCAACAAGAAAACAGAGCAATTAAAAGGAATTTCTTGAAACCAAATCACCCTTGAATACTAAGAAAGATCAAAATTCACAAAATTTGATCAAAGCATAGCTACTGAGTGTTGAAAAGCATAGTAATCCACAACTTGTGATTAGGACAAAAAAGGAAATGAAAGCCACTGCCAAACAATATAGAAAATTACGGCTCATCTATTTCTTGCTGTTAAACACTAATCAACTCCGAAGATAAAGTGAGGCTTAGGATTATTTTGAATTGCTACCTTGCCTTGATTGAATGAGAATAGATAAGGCACGAGTGGTTTCGGTGCAGTGATGGCTATACTTCTAGGAACAAACTCTAGGTGTAGGTGAATATAGAGCTTGTTGATACAAGATAGGACAAGCTCTAAAACATGCTAACAGCTCATCTTAACCACAACAGATGAACAAGATAAACATAATCTCAATCAGCTAGCGTCCGTTGAACACCTTTTCTGTGCTATGCTATAGTGAAAGCCAAGTGACATGTAATGTAACTCAAACCTGCTTTAAAGTTTAAAGTATCATCACTTGCATTCCACTTCATAATAAAAATGAGGTGCTGAGAGAAGAGGAGGAAGATGGGGGAGCACACTTAGAGGGGATCATGGATAACCAAAGAAAATAACAGGAAAGAATTAGCCATCAATGATAATCAATGATCAATAATTTTTTTTGCATGGAATATTCTAGCTCTAGTCACGTATTAAATCCTAATAATATCTTAATGACACAGGCAGACTGCAGCTTCAACTTCTTGATCGTGGAAGTTTCTAAGAAAGCAAGGAGAACATTTTTAGGAGTGAAGGGATGGCATATGGCAAGATGCTTTGATTTACAAGTTAGTAGGCTGCTCAAGGCAATTTAGGCAAGATTGCAACATATGGCCTCGGGAGGGAACCATGTCTTCTTTTTACAACATCATGTCATTTGCTATGAGCCCCTGCAAGTCTGTCGAAAATATTGATAATGGCCAAAGGTCTCGAATTCTATTCGTTAATAGACATGGCTTATACTTAGCTACTGGCGGTTAGTGGTCAGAGCCGGACTGTGGGATGAAGCAAGCCATTTAATGGAAACTTGAGAGCAATACATGAGCATCCAAAGGAGTGTTTGCAAGCCTAGATAACTACTAGTAATCCCTTCCATTTACACTTCAATCAAAGACCATAGAGATGTCGACACCACATAATCCAAGGCACAACACTTGGATGTAGATTGCCATCCTAGATGTAATACATGCTAAATCTGCAGCATTTTTTGGATATTGAGCAATTAAGCAATCGATGTGTTACTTAACAAACAAGGAAATAAGACTATAAGAACAATCGAAGTATCTACCACCTAAAATATTTTTGTGTTGCCATGCTCCTGAGATTGTGTAGGAGCATGGACTCCTCAGGAACTTCTCCTACAAGTTGAGTATCATACCTCAACTTAAGAAAATAATGTTAATAAGAAAAAAAATTGTTAAAGTTGTCCAGAGGTATTGGAGAAAAGGTCTCTATCTATATTTCCTGTCAAAAAGGAGTTGGATAACCCAGAAAAGGGGTTAGAAACTCACACATGAAGGGCAATAAGAGCAGGAGACATCAATCTCATCGTCCAAATCTTATAGAGGCTTCTATTGCCAAAAATTAAAATGACACACATAACATAACTCCCATTGTCGAACCGAACTGTTTGCATGACTATTTCTTCATTATTTTAACTTTACATAGAACTATTAAGTTATTCTTCATCCCTTTTGACATGTCAATGCTGACACTGACAAATTGATCTTGGCAAGATCCTTAATTTCTGGTACAAGTACCTTTCACGTAAGCATTCAGTCTCTTTTCCACACAGGAAATCAATCCAATCATACGGTTGATGCGAGTTAAAAACTAGCTGACTAGTCGGAAAATGGGGGGTGTTTCCATTTGGTGAAATTTTTTCCCTTATTCAATTAACTTTGGAAAATACTTTCACCAGAGGTATAAGCAGGCCTCAGAAATAGGCATTTAGTCGTATCTATGCCCGAGTCTGTTTATTAAAGCACTGAAAATTGTATCCAATGCTTCATCTCCACATGATTTTAAATCCTACAGTTTTGAAAATCTAAATCATTGAAACCATATAATATACCCATAATTTAGCTCTAATTTAACAAACTAAACAACGGTACTCCGTACAATTGCAGATCAATTGTATATATACAAATCTATAAATAACCTGTTTTCCATGAACTTGAAGCTAAGTGGTAGGACTGACTGCTGTGGAAAAATGTGATTTGATTACAAGCAACACTATATCATATCTAGAAATGGATTGAACTTATCAATTAGAATTTGGATCACAATGCCAATTGACCAAGAAATTTCAAGCCATACAAGTACATTTAATTATTTTGCACTAGCCTAATATTGCATACAAAACAAGCTGAAAAAAAGTTCTCAAGAAACCATACAAATAGGAGGTAAAGAAGCCAGACAGACAACAGATTCTGAAGCTTTACACTGAAATCCATTCACGTTAACATGCAAAGCTAAAATGAGAAAGATGATATCCATGGAGCAACTGAAAATGAAGCAGACATAACTGATAAGTAGAAACTAAGCCTTAAAATTGCCAGCAAATCAGTCTAAAAGAAAGCTAGCTACAGAAACTTGTTTACAGAAGTCGGCAGATCATCCAAAACCTGTGATACAAGTAAGAAACTACAATAAACCTCTAAATATCGCAAACAGCATAGATGACGTGTGAAGATCCAAATTTTAAACCTTAGGTGAAGATACCATGTCTTTTTTCTGGTAGAATATTTTGCCATAGAAGAATGGGTTATGTGAACTACATAAACAATGAGGTCATAATAAATGAAGAAAAAAATAATTTCTGAGACTCTGAAAGTAACATGAACATAATATTCACATGACCAACCGGGGTTTGATCAGTTTCTTCATTCCATATCCTTCGATATATGAATGAAAGCAAGCGCTGTTTTATACCACTCAGGAATGAATTGAATGGAATAGGCGAGTTATGATGCTGACCATTCCCAACATGATCCAGGGGCACCTGATGCAGCTTACTTTGGTCAGGAATCGACAAATACTGCAATCAATAGTCAATTTGTAAGTCCAGCGACTCATACTTATACAGGAGATAAGTGTATATAAAATGTAAACAGATGAGCTGACAAAAGGATACATAGTCATTAGAGCCATTGATTTTGTGCTTTTATGTAGAAGGCTCAATTTTTTTTGATAGTCGATGAAAGTTTAGTAAAATAGAGAAGAAATACAAAAAAGAAGATACCATGAAGGACCAGACATCCTACCAAGGATTAATACATATAAAAGAAAAAAGTACATCAAAAGGAGACAGAAAATGAAAAGGGAGAAAAAAGACATATCACACCATTCCCAAACAAAGGCAGCGCTAGGGGACATAATGATCTCGAATCCGAAATAATGTTAAAAAAGGAAAACCATCAACCTTAGTCACCCATGCTGACAAGGATGCCAAAAAATGCACTCTATCCCATAAGGAATCATCACCATCATTTTCGCCATCAAAAACTCTAACGTTGCACTCTGCTCATACTACCCAGGTGCTGGCAAGAATAGCACATCTCCAGAGAATGGTAGATTTTATATCCCTTCCTAAGCCTCTCAGATCTTGCACAAATATAGATACACAACACTTAGGAATTACCCAACTCATATCTATCATCTTAAAAGGTTTCCACCAGAGTCCCAATGCTGAGAACAGTGTAAGAGCAATTGATCAATACTTTACCCAATACTATAACACATAACACACCATTGAGGTGATAAAGAACCACAAGTCTCCTTTTTCTTAAAACAACTCATTGGTATGAATCGTGCCATGAGCAAAATTCCGCTCCCTAGACAAGTACCATGTAGTTAGGTAGGCACAATCTATCCGTAGTTACCATGTGCAGATTTGGATCTTACTGGGCACCTTTGCCTTCCAAACCATTATAGCAGGATTGAAAACTAAACCGGTGGGAATACTAATAAGAGACTCAAAGAACGATTTATCAGAGACCAATCCAAGACGATCCACAGTTCACATTCTTCTATCAACAGACATCAGATTAGAAGAGAAATTTTTTATCAAAGAAAGTAAAGATATTTTTATTTAAGTAGCTCATTTGCTGAGCATGGGTGTGAACTGGTGCAGGAGAGAGAGTGCGAAAGCAATCGAGTTTGCCAAAAAAAGGGACTAGAGCACCTTGAGAGCATCAATCTAAAAAAGAAAAACAAACATTTTCAAATACCACATTTTAATGTATATGTTACATAATTTTATCTGTGTACATAAATACAATCTCTTAGTTCAAGCTGCATAAAATTTTATTGACAGCCTTCCATATTATAAGGGTCAAGGCAGCAGCGGCTAACTCTATAATATAACATCAGTATGTCAGGTGTAAGTGTTTCCAGCTACATGCATGCTAACAATCACCTAAATTTTAGTGCAAGATACAATCAGATAGCTTGCTGCATCTCTTACAAGCTAAAAGGTCCATTTGAAAAGGTGACGAGCTATCAGTCGGCAAAAGTGAAGAAAAAATCTGCTGATTTGACATGGTGAACCTGCATACTTGAGCAATGAAGAACATGGATTTGTTGCACCTGGTGACCTCTTTATCTCCCAAATGTTACCTCTTGCCCTATGGCAATGTCACCTGTTGATCTTGACAGAAATGAGAGATGCCTGAATAAATTTGTGAACAAAGAGAGAAAGGTGTGAAGATAGAGATAAAGAATGAACATAAGGTTTCCTGGTGGAGTTTGATGACAACCTCATAGTGCAATTCATGCTACTGGGAGAAGCCGACAGGAGAGCTTCCATGTGTGGTGGATGTCAATTGCATGTTCTTGCTTAGGGACTCAAAGAGGGAAGCTGTAAATGTGGAAAATGAGGCCTTTCTAAAGAAAGTCTAGAAGTGATTCTTACTTCGTGCGATGTGAGACAATTAGAAATTATAGAGGACATTTTCTGAGGGTGTCTAATAGAGACACCTTGGATTATAGGAAATGAAATTTCACAGAAAGAGAAGCTTGTTTGATTCGTGCTGATGGCGATGGCAAAACTGATAAATATAATTTTAAATTGGTGCTCTTTCAGACTGATAAGGAAAATCCTACTCAGTGCAACTGTTGATATGGTTGACAATTTGCAAATTTGAAGTGATTTTCAGAAAGCTGGTTTATCGTGAGGTTACGGAAGTGGGCTCCCGAGACAAATTCAATTAGGCTTGTCATTCCATTTATGGAAGGGAGAAGTGTTTTAGAAAATTGGTGATTTTTGTGTAGGAGTTTAAAAATGTTGATGGAAGAACTTTGGAAACTGTAAAATAGCTTGAGGCAAGGCTTAAGGTCGCTGGTCAATTTCAGGCTTCATTCCAATGACGTTGGAAGCTGATTTTCAAGATAGGGTTAAGGTGTTGTCAAGGCTAGGTCATCTCAATGAACAGGAGGCAAAGCAAAAGTTATAGGTGGCACCAATGTTTTGTGCCTTTGCCCAGAGGTTGAAGACAATAGGGAAGGTAGGAATGAGTTGTATGGCAACAATGTGAGGAAGGTAGTGCAGGTTATTATAAGACCTGAGATGCTGGTGTGGGTCAAATATTAAAGATGCTGCCCAACAATGACGTATTGTTGGGCAGGTTCTTATTTCCAGATTTGAGGCACCACTTGGACCTAGGAGCATAGATCGTTTTAAATGGAGGGCTGCAATGGGAAGGCTAATGACCTGATTCCTTTTTAAAATATGACTTGGCTTCTGATAAGAAAAGTTCTTTTGTCAGATGGGTCTTGGGCTTTTTGTATTTATTGAAGAAGGCCACATTCAATGATGCAAACAATTGTTTGCAAGACAGGGAATTCAGTAACCAGGAATTTTGCTGATTTAGAAAGATGCTACGTCACACCAACTGAGATGAAGTGGGTTAGGTCAGGAGAGCGTCAGAATGTAGCGCCTGAGATCACTGATGAGAGCGGAGAGTTAATGAAAGCTAAGTCAAGTTTTCCACAATGAGAATCTAATAAGGTCGATAATGGAATATTTGAAATTAGTGGAGTTCGATCATGACCCGAAGACAATATTGGGTCCGAGGGTGATGAAGGTGATTCTAATGTTCAAAGGAGGAGTCAAGCAAGAATTATAATTTCTTTTCTAAAATGACAAACCATCTGAATAATGATTAGTTGAAAAAGATCTTTTGTCTTCTAAATTGGTTCCAAGAGAATGTGAAGAAGTGTGTCCATTACTTTCAATCAACTAAATCATCTCATCTCCAAACTCATTCTAAGGGTGGGAAAGCCACGCAACCACACACATGCTATGTTGAGCCACACTTGCATAGTTCTACGAAAGCAGTCTCATCAACAGAAACTGAAAAGATTTGTAAACCACAACTTTAAAGGTGATGCAGCAAAATTCTAGCAAGAATCAACACCTTTTAATGAATTTCTAGCAATAAGATAAAAAGAAAGAACATTATAATCAAAGAAGTAACAAGAATATATGAATTTCTAGCACATAAGAGACCCAAGAAAGACAGAAATTCTGATTTTCTGGAACAAAAATAAGAAAAAATTGCTACAAAAACTAGGTATTTATACTAGGGTTTCAATAGCCCTAGCATCCTAGCCCTTGATCACTTCAATAACTCAAATGAAACATAAAATACTAAAGAAAATAAAAAGAGAACTAAAAAATCTGCTAACTATAGCTATGCCTATTAGTGGGTTTGCTTTTTCTTGATAAACCTATGGGATGCTCCCGCATCAACCCCTCCGAAATGGAAGAAACTCAACTCTAGCAAAAAAGTCTCTACAACTTCAGCATGAACCTCTGGATCAATACCTTTTCAATTCCTCCTCGACAACCAATATCCTTTTCACGAGCTAGTTTGCCCAACCACTTCACTAAGGATGCCTATAATGATTGTCTCACCTAGATTTCACTTCTTTGACATTCAATACATCTTCAACAATATCCGGTTGTGCCTTTTGAAGTTGTTTACTTGAGCCTCAGTTGAAAACAAAGTTAATAAACCCAACTCGAAGACATCAACCCACCAAAAGGACCTGGTCATGGGTTAATGGTCCAGCCATTGGTTTACGCGGCTGAACCGGTCATATCATTAAACATAGGAAATAATTGTAAATAATAGTAATAATCATGCTAAAAACATGTAAAAAGGTACAAAAATAATTAAAAAATGGAAATTTATCAATATCTTTGAATGAAACCCAAAGAGAGCTCAATCATAGTATCACAGAATGTCTAATTTAATCGACAATTCAAACTAACAATTACAAGCAGTTTTAAAAAAAAAAAGAGTTAACACCTTAAATTATACCTCTTTTTGGCTCATCAGGAAAGAGCTCTTTGACAGCAGCGACATCCTAGAGTGGCCCAGAGCTAGGTCCTCTTGAATCCCAGGACCAAGTCTCAGCACCCCAAAACCCTCTTGACTTAAGCTTATGGTAAGTGCTCTTAGGAAATCTATCTCGCCTCAAATGCACTAGCATCATGTCACTTCTTCAAAATACTTAGTTCTCTAATACTGATTAGTGCTATTGCATAGGATTTATTACCAAATCACAGTAGTCTTAATAAACAACTACCAACACAGATCTAGCCAAGGAGAACGATCCTAATGTTTGAAAACAAAAACAAAGCTGACTTAAGTAAAATTGTATTGGAAGGACACAAGTTACCGAGAAAAACGAATGGTTTAAAAAGAGAGAATGAAATGGTTTTGAGCTAGACAGTTAGGTAATAGAGACGACACATATCACCTGTGTGGAGAATGGATGGCAGAAGATTGAGATGGTTAAAGTTGAACAAAGCTTAAACATAATAGAGATCATGGAACAGCGTGAAGAGAGAGCTTTTGGGGAAAAAAGATTTGGTTTTCATATGACATATCTGACCCATCCGGGTTCCAAAAACCACCCGGTTCACACGGGTTTAATTAAAATCCACTCGAGTTATAGGTGTTTTATCGAGTTTATTGCTCAAATGATCCAATAATTAAACCGGCCCGGGCTAGGCACCGAGTTGACTTGTCGGGCCGGGCTGAGTTTGATAAATCTGGTCGAAATTGCTTCTCCATTACATCCTTCAAACATATGAGTCAGATACATTGAAGACTGGGCTAATTTGCAAATCTGGCAAGAATTCTAATATATAGGGAGTGGAGGCAATTTTCTTCAATACATTGCATGGCCTAAACTCTCTTGACTTAAGCTTATGGTAAGTGCTCTTAGGAAATCTATCTCGCCTCAAATGTACTAGCATCATGTCACTTCTTCAAAATACTTAGTTCTCTAATACTGATTAGTGCTATTGCATAGGATTTATTACCAGCTATAATTTTGCCTCCATTTCCTCTTGAACTCTTCTAATATGATTTGCAAAAGCTTCTCCATTTTCACTCACTCTAGTCTCTTGGGGTAACGGTACAACGTCAAGAACATGTTGAGATTTTAGCCCATAAGCAGCCTCAATGGGAGTTTTCTGCGTAGTCCTACACTGAATTGTTGTAACCAAATTCAGCTTGTGGTATATCAGAATCACATGCCTTCACATAATTCCAAACAAGACATCTCAACAAGTTGCCCAAGATTCGGTTGACTACCTCTGTTTGTCCATCCTTGTGGATGACAAGTGCTAAAATACTTACAATCTCAAGTATTCTCTATAGTGTCCTCCAAAAGTGCCCCTTAAACTTGGCATCCATATCAGATAAAATTGAAGTTAGAATTCCATGTAGTCTCACAACTTCTCCAAAAAATAAATCAGCAACGTAGGGCATCATTAGTTCTTGAACAAGGAATAAAATAAGCCTTTTTGTGTACCCATCCTTGTCAACAATATTGTTCATCTGCTCAATGCATCTACAACTTTAATAGGCTTACCAACCTTGTATTTAGGAGAAAAAGTGAACCCTATAGATAAGAACGCCACTTGGCATGCTTTGAATTTAGCTTCTTCTGCCAATTCAAGTACTTCAAGGTTTGATGATCAGAATAAACGAACAAACTCTCTATACGCTAGGTAATGCTCCCAATGTTGAAGGGCTCGAACAAGTGCATAAAATTCCAAATCATAAGTGGAATAACGACTATGACAAATATATGATACCTAGGGGTTAAGGCTTGTTTCTAGATTCATTCCGCTCAGTAAGGGTCGACTATGACAGAACTATGATATCTATGGGTCCTTGTTGCAATTCAAAGTGGATTTGTGAGTTTTTTGGCCTTGTTTCTCTTTGTCGGCAACTGTTTTTGCTCCGACAACCATTTGTTTTGCTTTGATAACCATTGTTGAAGCCCCTTGGGACGGTTAAGGTATATTTTTGTTTACGAACAATTTTTTGGCTATATTTCCTCACGATTGCTTGCCTTTTGTGTTAAACCCATTGTGTGGACATGTCAGAAGGGAGCGAGACCTCTCTACTACTACTGTAGGAAGTACGGGAGGACATGGGTTGATCCGTTTAGGTGCTCTCGCAAATGACCCCTCTGCAAATTAGTCTAGAAAAAATGGAAGGACACAATTACTTAGTGTGGTCGCGAGCTTGTTTGTTATCAGTTCAGGCCATTTCTTTAGATGGATATTTGACTGGAGAGACAGAAACCCAATAAAACAGGTTCTCCACTAAAGTAGTGGACATCTGAAAATGCTTTGGTGATGTCATGGTTGCTTAATTCAATACAACCCTCTACTGATTGTGGTTTTTTGTTGCTCGACACAGCTTAAGAGATCTGGACAGCTATGGCACATAAATATTCTCAAAGGGATAATGATGCGAAGGCATATGATCTTTGGAAGAG